CCGATTTATGATTTCCGGGGAGTGGATTGGTCATGGGCTGACAGATCTGAGCACAACGCGGGATAAAATGATGGTGACAATGGACAAAACCCAGAAAACGTCAGAAAAGTCTTGAGCCTTAGTGGGGACGCGAAACGACGTATATCCTCAACCTTGGATTCCAGGGGACGAATACCACTCTGGTCTATGGTATACCCCAGGAAGGTAAGGGAGGTGCGGCCAAACTCGCACTTGTCTGGGTTGATAGTGATGCCATGAAGACGGATCCTATCGAAGACAAGACGTAAGTGAGTAAGATGTTCAGTTTCATTGGTGCTGACAATGAGAATATCATCGAGGTAGGCGAGGGAAAGTATATTGTTCTCTGAAAGCACCGGAGTTTTAGCCTGACTATGCTTGAGTGTCTGAAAGCGAAAAGTGCTTAGCGGGAGAAGTTGTAGCATTGAACTCACGCACCGTTAAATGTGTAAGTTACTTCACCGGAGGTGGCAGTGACTTAAACAGATAAAAGACCTAGCTGAAGAAGCGGTCTCAGGATATCGCAGATCCTGGCGGAATCTATGCTACAAAGGATAAGGATGCACGAGTGATTGCTCCAAGCAACCAGTGCCTGCAACCATGGGAAAGCATACATGCGGAATAACCAGATAAAGATGGTGACAACTCTCGAGCTTGTTACACTGTCGGTCTCAAGCCACTACAACTCTCTTACATTGTAGCTTTTGTACTACGATTGTTAAAAGATTAAAGCCTGTAAACGGCCAGACTCCTCTTCTGCATTACTCCGCATCTCTCGAATGTAACACTGGTGTTGGGGTTGCGCTGAGTATCAAGGCAGAGCGTTCACTTCTCGACTNCGAGTCTGCAGCTGCAGAACGAAGCGTCGATGCTTATTCGTCGTATCCGCGTCTGCACCGACAGATTGCAGTTCGCCAGGAATGAAGGAAGAATTCTACAAGGACCTCTCTCTACTGCTCCAAAGTGCTCGGTCAACAGACATTGTGATAGCCGCTGGAGACCTCAATGTTCAAGTGGTATCCCTGGACGAATCAGAGAGGTTACTTGGCGGTTCGCATGCAATCCCAACCAACAGGACTGACAACGGAGAACGCCTAATGCAACTTTGTGCTGACCACGGACTGTTTCTATCAAGCACTTCTCGCACAAAAAACAGCACCGTCTGACATGGAGACCACCAACTGCTTCACATCGCTGGACTCAAATCGACCACATTGCCATCAGCCACCGTTGGAGAGGATCCATTGAAGACTGCCGCTCCTACTGGTCAACAACCGTGGACATGGACCTGCTGCGAGCGAGATTTTCGCTACACCTAGTAAATAAACGCAGAAAAGCCACCGAAAACGGATACCCAAGATGCAATGTCAGCAATGGTTGCAAATCGGCCATCGAATTGGAACTATCAGATCGTCTCTCAGCTCAACCATCAGCCGGAGGACTCAGCGAACACTGGACGGCAATCAAGGAAGCGATCCAAATGTCAATGGAAACAACAGCAAATTATGACTCACGATCAAATAAAAAACGATGGATCTCCCCGACTTCGGTTGCCCTGTCGGACGCTCGCAAAGCCGTTCCTTCGGATTCAAACTACGAGAAAGCGCGCAAATCCCTTAACCGCCAGCTGATCAAGAGTCTGAGGGATGACCGCGAGAGGTGGTGGGTAGAAGTGTAGAGAGATGAAGAACGCTGCGACTATCGGTAACAGTAGCAATCTTTTCCGATTAATTAGGAGTACAGGTCCAAGGAAGGCAAGCGTAAGTGAGGTGATTAGGGAGTGTGACGGCACACTGATCCATATTCAGCAGCGCCGTCTAGATCGATGGGCAGAACATCTTGAGGCTCAGTTCAGCTGGCCTTCACCAGCACAAGATCTTCCTACACCCGATTCAACTGTGCAAACATTACCAGTTGACATCAGTCCTCCATCTGAAATAGAGGTTACCCGGGAAATAAGCTTTCTCGAAAGGAATAAGGCTTCTGGCCCCGAAGGGCAGTCCCCATCGGTTTTTAAGGATGGAGGTCTAGCCTTGGTTTAGGAGTTAACAAAACTCCTGGGTTCAGTGTGCGAAAAGGAACAGATTCCAACTGAATGTTGTGAGTCGGTGCTCATACCGATTGACAAGAAGGGCGACATGTTCTCTTGTGAAAAACAGAGGAATTAGTGTAATTAACGTTGCCTCCTACTCCGTCGATTGTCTGCCGCACGTAAAGAGTGCACACGTGAGAACCAGGCTGGTTTTAGACTTGGTCGAGGTTGTATCGACCAAATCTTCACTCTTCGTCAAACTCCATAACACAGACACTCTTCGTTGACCCACTATTTTTATCTTCATCGACCTGAAAGCGGCCTTCGACTCAGTCGACTGCTGTAAACTCTAACTCTGTCTCGCTCTGAGGGGTGTGTCCGAGAAGTTTATTTCGATATTACAATCCATTTATACTAACAACTCAGGCTGACTCCGAGCTTACGGCACTTTTTTACCCGAGTTCACTATCGAAAGTGGTGTTCGACTTTCTCTTTAACTTTCATATAGATTTAATTCTTGAAACAGCCCTATCCTCGTGCGGTGATAGCGGCATCGACTTACTCCCAGGTGGCACACTGTCTGATCTAGAGTATGCAGACGACATTGTGCTACCAAGTGAAGATCCAGGTAAGTTGCGAGTTTTTCTGGATAGTTTGAGTGCTAGTGTTGCCATGTTCGGTATGCGTTTTGCACCTTCAAAGTGTAAAATGCTACTACAAGATTGGGTTGGCCCAGTCCCCAGCCTCACCCTGACCGGGGAAGTTGTAGAGAAACCAGACAAATTTTGCTATCTGGGCAACTATATCTATATCACCTGGCGGACGCATCACGGATGAATTGTCGGCGCGCATATAGAAGGCTCGGTTGGCATTTGCCAACTTGAGGCATTTGTGGCGCCGTCGCGACATACAATTGTCTGTGAA